CAGCAACCAGCAGGTCTGGGCATGGTGGAGGGAAAACCTGGCACTAAGGTGACAGGAGGAATGGGGAAGCTTTGGGAGCTCACACCAAATCAACAGGGCTGCACGGTGCCAGTGTCATGTGAGGTTTAAAGGACAGAAGAGGGAGGCAGTCCATGGGGTGACAACAGCATGGGGAGGGCAGCAGATCTGTCTTTGGTTACAAAAGCAAGTAGGCACTAAAGAAACAGAGCAGAGCTGCGTGGTGAGGAGGGGAATTGCTCCCAGGGAGCTTCCTCATGCTCCTCCTTTCCCTCTTTGGATGTGTGCTGCTTGCCAAAGCTTAATGCCTCGGCACAGACCCGTGTTTCTAAATGGCCATTACTACAAGATGAGATCTGCTGGAAAATCACCGCTACTCATAAATATGTTCCCTGCTTACTTAGAGATATTTTGGTCCCAGAGACAATTTGTGTTTTGGGAAACTGCCAGCCTCTCTTGCTTGTCTAATAATTCCTCTGTGAAGCATTTAGCAGTGGTTTGATCCCCTCTTCCTCACAATGGAGCAGTTTGAGTTTATAGTTCAGCAAATGCAAACTACCCCAAAACACTCCAACTTATTTTTTATCGAGTTTCTATCTACCATCAATGAGTTGTCCTGCTGATCTCATCACCAAACCCATGTGAGACTAGTCAGTCCTGTGTGATTTCTGCATACAAAAGTCCTCTATAAATCATAAAGCATTTTATGCAAGTCTGTAAGATTGATAGGACCGGGTACAAAAAAGATGTATTATCAATCACATCAGACATCATGTTTTGTTTGCATATTCACCTCCAAAGTATGGTGGGGGCTTTTTGTAGAGAAGATGGGAGCCATGATAGCTGTCTTAAATACAAACAGATTGCTATCAGAAGAAAGGGAGTAATTTTTCTTTTTTTTTTTCTTTTTTTGCTCTGTCTAATGGGGATAAGATGAGAAGCAAAGGATTTAAAAGACAAAAAGGGAGATTAAGGCTAGTCATTAAGGATTTTTGTACCTGTAAGCTCTGGGAGAGATTGCCTAGGTAGCCAGAAAATCCCCATCACTGATGATTCTTGAGGAATGGGGCAAACTGGTGGCATCACAAGACCTTTTCCTGCTTTCCCTGTCAGATTAATGCTCCACACTCCTGCAGAGCTAGGGTTCCAATCCAAAGGTTGCTTTGCAAGGGATGAGAAAGTTCCTTGCAATGGATGGATGGCAGGAACGTTCCGTGCAGAAAAAGCAAAAGTGCAAGGTTTGAGTCAAAATGCTGCTACAAAGAACAAGGTAAAAATGAGGAGAAGTTATTAGGAAATAATCCTTTGGCCAAAAATGTTCTCTCCTTTACAGCTCCTTGCCACAAATAAATTGTTATTTTTAAAATGCAGAGAAATATTTGAAGGTTGTTGGGTTGTTTTTTATTATATTTTATTTTGTTGTTGTTTGTTTGTTTTTCAAATGGCAATAAAGACAGAATATTAGGGAAAAAAAAGAAGTCATGCTGAAAAAATATTTTAAAAAATAGTGAAGAACAGAGGTTAGAAGATCTCAGAGTAACACATCTTGACAGAAAAAAATGTTTCTTACTAAAAAAGTAGAGTGAATAAGAGATAGAAACGTATTTAATGATGAAAGTGGTCAGATTTTTCTTTATCAGCTGACCAAGAGGCTGACAAAAACTTCCTGTTCAACGAAAAGAGCATTCAAATGTCTGCAGACCAGGAACACCTTTAGTGTCTGCGGAAATAATGAGGTACACAAAAGACAGGGCGGAATGTTATTTCAGAAAGTTGGTACTTGAGAGATATGATTTACCACTCAGCTTCACGATTTACTGCACAGATTGCTCAGACACAACCACTAATCTATATCTGAAGAAACTACTAATATTTCAAGTCACTAAGCACGCTCCAAATAATCTTTACGTACCTGTATGTTTAGTTCAATGCTAAGAAACAGCGGTATGTATACTTAACAGAATTTATACAGGCGTTATTACGTCTTAGTTATAGCTATATCGACAGGCTACAAAAAAATAGTCTCAAGATTCAGAAGGAAATTCACGTGGAGAACGGAGGGCAGCGCGCCCGCCTTCAGCACCACGGACAGCGCCGGCGAACCCCCGGGCCCGCGTCCCTCTTGCCGCTGTCCGTGGTGCTGACGGAGAGCTGCCGGCGCTGCGCACACGGGGACACAGACGGGGACACGGAGGCATGCGCGGGGACACTCAGGGGGACACGGGGACACGCCTAACCGCGTGGATCCCAGTCGGCTGCTACAGGTTCGAGAACCGCCTGGCGACCATGCAACCAGGGGAACGTGAGCACGGCAAGGCCAGCCAATTAATCACCGATGGTGTTTCGGTACAAAACTGTGCAATCATCAATAACGTGATTCAGCAAGTAGATGTAAACAAGTGGAGAAAGCACTCTGCTGATCGGGACAGCACCACGATGAGCAGAGCTCAGTGAGAACTGGCCAACAGGGGCTTCTTACCCAGCATTCAGAGCCTGCATGAGCCTGGTAACATGCAGAAGGATATGGCATGAGAGTTATTTTAATCACATTCTTCCTGTATTTACCTACCACGGATTTGGTGATAATATGCCACAGTTGAGCACTTTGTAGGCAACGCAAGCATGAGGACGTGGCTCCGCATCCAATTAACCTGAACCACAGTTGAACTCTGCCCTTCGAACCCCCTGTGCTGATAAATGCATTGACTCACCTGGTGATCATTGATATTTTTTATCCTGGCAGAAATGCAGAGACTGCCCTACCCAGGCCAGAGCAAACAAAGATTTCACAGGGACGTTTCCGTGTGGCAGGCACTTCAGAGAGAAGGCCGGGGACCAAGGGGCCTCCGTGGGGCCACAGGCACACTGTAGGGCTGTGAGGGAAGTGGGACACATCGTTCCCATGCCCTCTTCTCCTCAAACTTCCCAGCCTTGGTTCTCACCCAGATCATGGGTGGAAGCCGCCAGCTACCTTGGCTGCAGTACCATGCAACCAAGCACATAGCAGGCATGAGGGTGAACCTACAGAGGGGCTTTTATGATGCAGCTTCTGTGTAGGGGTGGGATCAGATCAGTGGAACTTACATGAAAGGTTTCACCATCTCTGTATGGGACAGGAGAGGCTTCTCCTTTTCTTCTGGCAGCCCTGGTGGCAGCAGCCCTGGACCAGGTGCATGTTGGGGTAAGGATGGGGAGTGAAGCCACAGCCGCAGCAGAGGGATTTGCCCAAATTCAGGGCAGTCCCCAGAAATGCTCTCCCTGTTTCACCTCCCGGGACTCAGTAAAGGCACATGGTGCTTCCTGGACTGCAGAGCAGGGTCTTGGTGCCAACGTCTCCTCAAGAAAACCACACAGCTCTGCTCTGACTCGGACACAGCTGCTGCTGACCCCTTCTCCAGGCTTTTGGAGCCCTTTAAAAAATAATCACAGCCCTGGTCCAGCTCCCCTGGGAGAGGGGCTTCCTCTCATAGGATGGAACATTTGGGTTCATTTTGAGAAAAACTTACAGGAAGAGCACAGGGTGGGCGGGTTGCCGACTCTACCTCCACTCCTGCTCTCAGGAGCTTCAGAAAGCAAGGGAAGGGAAAGGAAACACCGAGATAATGAGGCTGCATATTCACACGTGGTAATAAAAAATCGATTTCCCGAAGGGGCCGGTAATTTACAAAGGTGTTTCCCGTCCTTCCTCCTCTCCTATCCGAGGCCGTGACGGCTCCCGCTGTCCGGGCAGCCGCTGTTCCCGCTGGCTGCCCGCGCCTCGGCCGCACGGAGCGGGAGCCGGGAGCGGCTCGGTGTTAGGAGTACCTAGGAGCAGAGCAAGCAGCTTTTTTCAGCGCCTGCGTTTCAAAGCAAACCAGAGCAATTGGAAACACAGTCTGACGGTACAGGAGTCCCGGCGTTGGCAACGGAACCAGAACCAAAACGGGCACGGCTGCATCTGGATGACACAGCTCGAAGCAAAAACGGGTTCAGGGGTATTTTACCGCCTTTCTTAAACCTACGTAGGCTCAAAACCCGAGCCCCAGCCCCAAGGAGCGCAGAGGCAGCGGTGCGGGGTAACCTCGTCGCCCGATAGGAGCCAGGCAATGCCCGCCGGCTTCCGCCGCTCCCCGAGCACAACGGCTCTGGGTGCTCGGCGTTACCCCTCCGGGTCGGGCCCGGGGCAGCCCCAGAACGGCGGGACGGGGTAGACGGGGTCGAAGGCAAGCGGGGTGCTGGGAAAGTCGAGCTGCAGCAATGTTCTTGGAAACAAGCCGGCTCAGGTTCCAGATCAATGAACGCTGGGTCCACGCGTTTATGTTGCTAGCGTGAATGCTCTTTTAATCTTCTAAACATCATCTGCATCGATTTCCCTCCACGTATGCGTTTGTTTGGGAAGGCGACGCGGCCGCGTGCTGCGGGCCCCGCGCCGAAGGGTTCACCCCGTGCTGCGGCGGGGGGCGGCCGAGGCCCTGCGGAAGGGCGGCGCGGGGCGGCCCGGGGCCTCGCAGTGCGGATTCGGGGCTCGGGGAATTCCGGAGCCGCGCGTCGCAATCACCCGCCGCTCACGAACGGGCGAAGATTCGTCGCCCCGCATCGGGACCGAAAGAAATGAAAGAGCGGCGGAGTTATGGCAACAAACGGCTCCGCAGCCTCCCCGGAGCCTCCCCGCAGCCTCTCCGCAGCTGCCCCGGCTCCGCAGAACAATGGAGCGCTGCGGCGCGGGCAGCCCGCGCCAGGGGGCGCCCGGCCGCGGGACAATGCGGGGCGAGCGCGGAACAATGCGGAGCTTCCGCGCCCGGCTGCGGGACAATACGGGAACGGCAGCATCCGGAGCCGCCGGCCGGTCTCCCGGCCCGGTGACACGGCCCGAACCGGGAGACGGCATCGGGAACGCCCAACGGGGGAGGTGAGGGAGGGAGGGAGCGGGGCTGCCCCACGTACGCTCCGAGGAAGTGCCCCGAGCCAGGGCAGCGCCGCGGGGTCTGGGGAGCGGAGCCTACCTGCGAGCCTTAAGGCTGACATCCTCTGGAACTCCGGCTCCTGCAGCCACTTCCACATCCTCCGGAAGGTCTCCCTGCCGGATTTCAGTTTACTCCAAGGCTTAGGGTTCCGTAGCAAGTCCGAGAGGGTGCCCTGAGAGCGGCACAGCACCCGCTGGGCGAAGATGGCCTGGGGGATGCTGTAGCGCTTCAGCTCCGCCGTGATCCTCTGGGCCACCTCCTTCGTGTTGATTTCCTCCAGCTGCTGCGCGGGGGCGGCGGCGGGCGGGCGGTCGCGGGCAGTGGGCAGCGCGTGGGGCGGCGGGGCAGGGGGGTGCTGCCCATTGAGGTGCGGCAGCGGGGCCGGGGCCGCCGGCAGCCCTCGTGGCAGGTGCGGCACGGCCTCGAAGCCGGCCCCCAGCATCTTGTCGTGGCCCGGGGGCGGCGGCGGCCCGTAGCCGTGCAGGCCCTGCTGAGCGCCGTGCAGGGGGGCCAGCCCCGCGCCCAGCGGGGACAGGCTCTGCCCCACGGCCGGCACCTCCTTGTACGGCCCGTAGAGGTTGTTGACGGCGGGCAGCCCGCGCTCGTCCCGCATCAGCGCAAAGCCGCCGCCGACGTTGCCTGCCAGGCGCTGGTGGTGGTGGTGGTGGTGGTGGTGCGGGTGAGGGTGCGGGTGGTGGAACTTGTCGGACACGGCGGAGATGGGCGGCAGCGGCTGCAGCGGCGTCAGCGTGGTGTAGGTGCCGCTCATGCCCATGCCGGGCGGCGAGGGCTCGCAGGGCACGCTCATAGCGTGGTGTAGCGGCACCGACAGCTCGGGCCGGAACTCGGCGCCGTCCAGCAGCGGGGCCATGCCCGGCACCATGGCCGCCCGCCCCCCCCCGCCCGCCCCCGCCGCCGCCGCCGGGCAGCTCCTGGGGCGGCGGCACCCGCAGCGTTCCCCCGCCTCGGCCGCCGTGGTGCGGGCCGGG